TCGATCGTGGCTAACTTTTTTTTTATTATTCTATTCTTTATCTATGGGCGGAAGTGGTGTAGTGACAAGTGGCGCGCTTACCACGCGAGCGGTCCGGGGATCAAATCCTGGGTCGTGAGTCGCCCGGGCCAACCAAGCCTTCCATCCCTCCGGGGGTTAATTGGTACCAGACTTGTCTGGGAGGATAAAAACACTGACTTGTACATCGGCTGGCCCCCGCAAGTCATTGTATAGGCCACATCGCATTCAAACGAATGTACAAATGGAAGTAGAATGCGTGCCGCATCCCAAAAAGGGATTGATCAACGGCAAATGCTTTATCCTTTATCCTTTTATTGCCAGAAAATGGATAGGCAAATTCATCCACTGAGAGGCTTCCAGATCTTATCTAACTAGCATACGGATAGGTGAGCAAAATCCAAATAGAGATTGCCAATGTGAATGGGTGCTAAATAAACTTTTATTACTGCAACGTGCATCGAAGGATCCCGCATTCCGTACAGTGTCAATCAGAAGAAATGATTCTTACTCGTCAATTGGTGTGGCGTCGATGGAATGTCCATTTTTCAGTGCACGAGCGCTGCTATCAAATTTGGACGTGCTGAGTTTGCTCGAGATACCCTTGCGCTGTAGTCTAACGGCTGGATCACTGTAGCTGCTAATTGTACTGCACCACCGGACAGAGTTGTAGGTCGATTATTTCTAAAATGTCAAGTTCAGTCATAAATGAGTGAAATGGACATATAACACTCACAAGCAGCCATCCCTGGCTAGGGCAGGGCCCATGAGAAGGTGATTGAACACTGGTGGCGTGATTAAAGTGGGCACAAAACTTGGCGAAATTGATTTATTTTGATTCACATCTGCATTGAGCCCATGCAAATAGGCATCTGAAATGGATGTTGCTGTGCGTAGCTGGTAAAAAGGTTGAGATTTGTGTAAAACGAACTGTGCAAAATCACTGCGGCCTGTTTCTGCCTCTGTTTCATTTGACGATACTGCTTTTTGAGAGAGCGAAGGTCCTTCCAGTTGCTTAGCTTGCGACGGATATTGCCTAAAGACGTTTACGAGTTACCCTTGGGACTGTTTGTATAATATTTAGTTTTAAATTAAGTATGTTCTGTCGCAAGTGGCACAATAGTTGGAAGAACTGTCCTGGCCAGAATAGTAGATCATCCTGAAGATCGGATTCCTGTACAGGATGACGAAAAAGTACATGCGCCATAGGAAATCCTGACACTTTTTCTTTTGCCCACAAACATTCGAGACATTCCTTTTTTTATAAAAAAAAAAAGAAAAGCACCGAATATGTGATAGCGTCCCAAAGTTCGTGCCGCTTAAATGTTTTTTAGTTGACATTAATTGGAAAACAAAGAAAAAACAACATTATCCGCCCGTTATGAGCATCACTCTCAGTGATTTTGCTACCAACGATTCGAGTGGTGTCACATGATTCGTGTTCCCAAAAAGTTGGAGGTTTCAAGCAAGAAAAGGTAGTGAGGTCGATTTTGAGGTTCTTCTTTGAACTGTATTTTTGGTTTGTGAAGTGCTCAAGAAGGTAGCAGTTGGGAGCTGGCTATTAGGTGTTCGGGATCTGCTAGGACTTTTTCTCAAGTAAGCTCGAGGAGTTGCACAATCTTTTGAACTTGTAGCTGTTAATGCGAACTACTTTTTTGAGGTCACTGAACCAGTTTTGTTAATTTTCTAGTAGCACTCGCTGCAAACAGACCTCGCTGTCCATTTTTAGTGTCCATGCTGGAGCGAAGGTGAACTTCTAGTTGGTTCATCCGCGAACACCCCACAGACGGCTGGTATGACCCTTGCTGAGCTTGTTAATTTTTCAGAGCCTTCTTCCGGATCAATCCCGAGTCAGCTGCCTTCTCTGCGCTTAGTATACTTAGGAGTGTCACTTCGAATCAGCAACAGTGACGTCTCAGCATTCATACGGGGAAGCTGTGGAAGAAGTTGCAGACTGTTCTCATCTCGCACTCCTGCCATCACTGGTCTTATCACGAACAATCATTTGGCTGAGCTGTGACACCTTTCCGAAAGAGGGAAGACCTTCACGATTTGCGTACTGAGGTATTTTTATCTTATTGAAGCCTATTCAACTTACGTGAACTTATGCCAGGGATCGTTGGATAAAGTTCTGGCGCGAGATACAGAAAAGTGTTACGAACTTTTAGGACACCCTAATAATATGACAAGTGATAATCTCATATAGAATAAATAGTAAATAAATATGAATAATCAACTGACGCCGCTTACCACGCGCATAGACCAGGAATCTAATTCTGGATCATACTCCGTCCAGGTCAACCAAACTTTCCTTCCAGCCTTTAGTTGGCACCAGGGTCGGTCCTATCGTTGTTACTTTTTCAAAAATTTTTACGACCCCCCTCCCCAAGGTGGACTTGATACGACCCCCTTTCGACACCTTGACCCAGCATCATCCTATCTATAGTATTAAATTTATTCTGGTACCACTCAACCCACCAAACTCCGCCCACTTTTTCCTCCAAAATTGCCGTCGAGGGGGGGGAATATATAGCTACTCCGAAACGGTAAAAATTTTCGAAGAATTTCCTATAATTTCCTCTTATTTCCAACCATTTCACCCCTACTTTTACCCAATTTTACCTATCTTCCCACAACCTCAGTTTCTAGGGGGGGGAGGAAGGGGAGGGGGGGGGGGGGTATATACGCGCGCTGAAACGGCGAATTTCTCTCCCATGCGCTCCCAACTCACCCAGCCTACTACTCGTGAAAACTCCACTTTCACCACAAACTCACATGTAATTTCACGCGACTGAAGCGGATACGACCCCCCCTCCTATAAACTCAACCAGGTACGACCCCCCCCTATAACTGACCAAGTACAACCCCCCGTTGTTATCCAGCTAACAACGTAGGGTGGACCTGGCTTGCGCTAGACCTGTTAGGGAAGATGAAAACGGTGACCTGCTCATCGTTGACCCCACAAGTCATGGTAGTAGCCAAATTCGCATTCCAAATACCACTTCGATTTTGAATGGAACTAAGACGCATGGTTATTTTTGGTTCTCTCTGGTCTATGAAAACGCAACTTTCCCGTTCAATAGTCATGCCGTTCACCGCTACAGCGCGTTTCACCTTTTACTAGCGCTTTCGATCATTTTGATATTTTTATAAGAAGCCAGCAGCGTCCCACACATTCCATCACAAAAAGGAGTCTTACGGAAGTTCAAGTACAAATTCTTCGTTATAGACACCCGAACATTGATAGATAAAAAATTGATTGAAAATTGAAACGCCATCAACTCTTTTTTAACTACGTGCGCCTTATCTGCGATACTGCCATGCTGTGGAGTCCTTCCACTCGTTCTATGGTGGAACTCATTGAGAATGTTCAGTCTAGTTTCACTGAGCGGATCTTCGCTCGTGAAGGTATGTTCCATGTTCCATAAAGACAGACTGGATCTCCTCAAGGAAGACTCTTGAAATGAGACGTAAACTTTTGATTAGCCACTGTGCTTGCCTCTCTGGCTGGATTTGGATTTCGACGCTTTATTCAAAAAATCTTTAACGATTGGTCGCACAAGGGGTCATGGCTTTAGACTTTTGAGAGATAAAACAAATACGTCAGAATTCCGAAGTTCTTTCACGCAAAGAGTGATAACGCTTTGGAATAATCTACCGCCCTCCGTCATTAACTCTGACTCTTCTAGCTCATTTAGGAGCAAAGTCAGAAAGATCTTAATTTCTCAAGGGTTGTTTTAAGAACAGAAGAACAGAAACTGTACCTTGACCAAACTTGAATGGCTCAGAAGCGAATTTTTATTCTCTGAATGGCATTATGTTATACCTATATTGGGTGTTGTTATGTTCTGTATATAATTTTACTTGTTTTTTGTTAACTTTCCAATAATTGCTATCTATGATGGGAGTCGGATCTCGGCAAAGTTGGCGGACCTACTGAGCTGGTATCCGGAGTTCTTATTCGTGCACCTCTGAGCTTGCAGTGTTGGCGGCCACTGCCCTTCTGCGGCGATTATCCCTTTCTCCCCCACACAGCAGCTTCATAAGTGGAGTTTTGTGATAGATATCGGAGATCTGTTTTTCCACTTGGTCGTAATAACTTATTTAATTGAATGCTATAATAAGTTAATTTAAAGGAATCTTCCGCGGAAAAAGCTCCGCCTCCATTACCACAGAAAAACGATACCCCTTAGGCCCCTAGCCTCATGAGCATAGCAAAAAGAACGGAACATAAGCGTTAGTTTCGATAATACTAATCCTACACACAAGACAAAATGATCACTCTTTCCGTGGAAGATTCCTTTAAGGTATCGTTTTCTGTGGTAATGAGGGCGGAGCTTTTTCCGTGGAAGATTCCTTTAAAGGAGGATTTACGATTAGAATGAAGGTCGAAGAAAGGGAAACTGACCTAGTTGAGGGACCCACGGACCTCCTGAGGGTGCGAACTGACGCGCAATTCGCATGGAAAAATTTGACCTCGGCGACCTATCATGCCTCAAAGCTGGCGGGTCCGGCGATCTCCGCCCACCGATCATCTGATCACTCGCCGTAGTTCAATACGTGGCGAGTGATTAGATAGCTGAGAGAGCGTAGTGTTGAAGAGGGCACAGCGATGAGAGTCGCATCAATGCTCGAATCAACGGGCAAGGAAGGGTACCATTTCTCGGGTTCTGGGCCGTTTCTCATGGTTCTTCCTTCTTTCGTGTACCACTCACCATCCCTAGGTTAATTTGAAATGGGTTGCTTTTTCATCGTGAATTCCTTTAAATATTAACACCTTGGAGCCCACGCAGCCCATATGTGGGCTGCAGTCCTCCGACCGCATAGGACCTTTCAGCTCGCATTTCGTAAACAATTATTAGGTTTTTCATTCATTTTCTTTTCCATTTTATCCGATAAGATTTCTTCTGCATTATACAGTGGGTTCTTCTTTTGAATTTGCTAGATAAGATCCCTAAAAATTTCACCGAAGTCCCGCGCGGCCGCGGAACGTAAAACACGCGCGGTCTCCAAAGTGTTAATATACCCGGTCACTCTTTGCCTCAGCAACTCGTCGACCTTTCTGAGAAAGATCACTATATGTATCTCCCCGGAGAGATTGAGCTCACGGTAGGATGACGATCCAACCATACACTCGTCGGATAGAGCAGATCCCATAAGAATTTCGGTCGACAGGGGAAATATAAATCCGTTCGTTGAATGGAGTCGAGTCATACACCAAATAAAGATCAGGAACAACATTACCATATAATTATAAGTGAAAGACTTTGACGAGTCTGATGATGCTGTCAAGAACTCTGCTCTATTCTTCACCCTTTGGTGTGTTTCTTGAAGTTTATTTTTGTCGCCATATTTATCCCCCAGCCTCTAAAAGATAGCTTGCGCCACTCTTGTCATACCAATCCCAGTATTGACAAAGAGAGGAAGCTCTGGGTGGGCGTGAAAGCTACAGCGACACGGTGCACGCACCACCCCAGAGCTTCATCCCGCTGCAACAAGGATCAGCAGACAGCAAGAACTATTGCAGCGACTACCCCTCCCCTGAGGTTTTGCGATAGCTCCAATACTACTTACAATGGTTCGATTGCCGTAAACATGGAGAGCAGGCTGAATCGCCATCATTGAGAATGTCGTCGGCGCTTTTTCGAACTAGTTTGAATGCGGGAGTCAGAGGCTGAATATTCCATTTGTGTTTCTCTCGAAGCTCTGCTAAGCCCGGATATGGAAATTCTGCCATTGTGTAGATAACCTGAAAGTCAATATACCACACTTAACGTAGTTCGACGTGCGGGTCTATTCCAGTTAGGGCGGCATCATGATGCAGTTTTTCCAGAAAGCTACGGTAACTCCGAGCCAGGGGGAGTGTAGCCAGTCTAGGGGGTGGGGGTGAGGGCAGTCACTTGACATGCGCTGGAATGTTCGAATTCACACTAGTTCGCCGAGAAATTGCATCATGATGCCCCCTAACTGGAATAGATCTCGACGTACTAATAAAAAACTGACACTTCCAAGTGTCATGAATTATTCGCTGTCAGCACGTCCTTCTATCAAACTGCTGAGGGTGAGAAAAGAAGTGGAAAAGGCCCTCCAGCAACATGAAGCCGATATCTCATGGTAGTAGTACGTCGAGGTGCCAGGTTATCACGCATTGATACTCTGCTCTACTTTATAAGATATTCGCTTAGCAAACACGTGCACTCTGCAAGATAGACAAGAACTATCCCTCAATTGAATTGGTTCCACTGCAATTCAGGTGTGAGTTGAGGGACTGTAGAACGGCTGCGATCAAATCATCTCACATGACGATGTTTTAAAGGCAAACTCCGGGATTGAACTGGTGCTATCAGCGCTTCTGTAGTGATAGCTTAGCTGCGGAACGACCTGAAAGTGGGAAGGAAAGCAAGAGAAATCTTTGGAACGCTGAAATTAAGGCCTTAACCTTCAACAGGGTCGGATGTGGTACGATGGCGAGAAAGGGCGGTCAAAGAAGACAAAATACGCGAGAGAGCACGTCGTTTGAGAGAGCACGCTGATCTCTACATCAATGCACGCTGATCTCACCACTCTCGCGGTGGGTGGGAAGCGTTGGAAAGGGGTCGATGGTTGCAGGCCCGTAAGGATTAGCGCCCTAACCGCGCAATTTTTGCGACGAAGCTGGAGTGATCTAGGTAGGTACAGACCTTACAATTTCCCTCGTGGTATCCCTCCTACTAGTCGGGCTAATCCCGGGGTTTGCCTTTAAACAAAAATTTGATTTGGGTCTAGAGAGTAGACGTTTTGACAGAGATTGAGGCGTGTCATGTGAGAATCATGTGATCTGATCGGTCAAAATTCCGGTTGCCTTACGGTGAAACCAATACAACGTGCTGGGAAATCGTGCTTCTTCATATGCCAATGGCAGCACGATTGGACATTATCGCCCAGTAAACCATGTTGGTCAGGAAAAGCGACCCCTGTTAGGATGCCTGATTGAACAAAAAAGTATTTACTGAAATTCCGCTCCCCGGATTACATGTCGCTCCACGTGAGTGCTTATTTGAACAGCCGTGATTCCTTCAAAGGCCGACGTCATACTTTGTGATTCGATTAGCGATTCGCTCGATTCGCTAGCGAATCGCTGGCGAATCGCTAGCGAATCGCTAGCGAATCGC